ATCGGCCGCCTCTTTTATAGCGGCCTCCTCAGCCTGAAAGACGCTGTAGAGATCCGACAATCTAACCATAAGATCTCATTCAACTCCCGTCCAGCTACGATCCGTCCGTGAAGATGGTTATAGGACCTCTTCTACAAAGACTACCCTTCTCCCTTTCGTCCCTTGGAGGGATGTGCGTGGAGAAGGTGCGACGTTGATAGAAAATTATCAACTTAAATATAATTATAGCTAAAAAAACATAAAAAAAAATCGATTTCAACATTTCACTAACAGACAACGATTTCGACTACCTGCCATTTTGACAAAAGCAAAAGACACCGTTATTTGGTTTGAAGTTTTTTTTATCGAATACCAATGACAAACAGTTTATTTTTGTAAGTACGAAAAACGACTTTTTGCCACAAAAACTTATAAAATTAGCCACAGTGCATTTTGTGGCCGTCAATTATTTTTAACACAAAGAATGTAACACCGTGCTGCACATGTATGACACTGACAGTGGAGTAAATTGTGTGATTTCGTATGGGGAATTCCAGATAGGCAACGTATGAGTTGCAGCATCGGACGAAAATCACTCTACTCTTAACTTTTTACGTGTGTTTACGTCAACGGTTTCATTTTGGCGCGTTTTATCAGTTACATGCGATTACTGAACCGACTGAGAAATAACCATTCTGAAAATCTCATCTTTGAAATAGCCATTTTAGAGCCTCGATCAAATTATGTCCACGCGTTACACGCTTATCATAAAAAATCGTCTGCCGTTCGGAGGTGGGGTAAAACTGTAGGTTCCTCCCACCATTTGTGGAACAACAGTAGTTCATAAAGGCTGCATTTCTTTATTCATTCGGAATGTTTGGAATAAACTTTTTTGTTTATTTATTCTTTAGAACGTTCCTGATGATATGTTGACGTATATTTCAAACGCATTCTGTTTATTCCGGCTGTGAAATGGGATTATCCGGAATGTATAAAGAAACGCAGCCAAAATGTATCAAGTGCAAATTGTTATTTCCCCTCGAGTAAAAATAAATAACTACAAAATAAAAAAATCAAAGCCAACGAAAAGTAGCAAAATTTAATCAAGGGAGCGAAGCTGCTATCAAACTTTAATTGGTTTTTTCATTTTGATCAAAAAGTTTTTTCTTAGTTATAGTTGCCAATCAAAAGGTAAAAGAGTAAAATTGCAAGATAAGTATGTTAACGATATTTTTAGCTTAGATTTTCACTTACATGCAATCCATTGAGGCCCATTGTGATGAACTTTGGCCGCTTTGTGTCTAACGCCATCTGCAGTGCTGTGAAACATACCGAACGGAGTTCATGGGCTGGATCCCGATGGATGCCATGCTGGCGATATAACTTATCTGTTTAAATAGGTGTATATAATTTAATACAAACTATGCTTGGCGATGTGGAAGCACAATATGAACTCAAAGCATACATTAATGTGAATCACATAAAGTAAGTTGCTATGTATATTCCCATTACAATTCCGACTTTACTTTTTCACATGAACTTTTGAACCACCCTAACGTAGGTGTACATACATAAATATTTATCTTTTTAGTTTGTAGCAAAAATATTATGAGACAAAAGATAAAATCTAATAATTGGCGTGTTTACCTCATATTCATGTACATACATATGTTTATTAGGGTGCTCCAATTTTTTTCCAGCCATCCTTAGAAGTTAAAAATATGAAAAAGGAGACCCTCATTTTTTATTTTAAAATCGGGTAATGTTTTACCGTACTGGGGAGCTTTGATGTTTTACTATATTTTCTGTGGGGAAAAATACATTGTTTTGCAGAATTGCTGTACTTTTTCATAACCGATTATCTCATCTCTTATTTAGAAATATTAGTTATTTAATAGCAAGCATCTTTTAAAAAAACAGTTAGTCAAATTTTAGCGTCAAGTTTGCATCATAATTCGATTGTTTGAAGATTTCTAAAAGGAAATATTTTTGTTCGATCAATAAATACATACGTATTTATTTTTAACGATTTTATAGCAATTCTACGAAAAAATTTATTTTCCCAATATAAAATATATGTATGCATGCAAAACTTCAAAGCCTTCGCGGCGCACCGGAATACAATTAACCGATTTTAAAATAAAAAATACGGGCCTCCTTATTTTCTATTCCTTATAATTCTTAAGGAAGAAAATTCCAAAATTTTGATCTTATTTTGTGTATTTTAGGAGCACCCTAATGTACATACATTAAGCGCACTAACAGCACAAATAAAAATAAAAAAACCAAAAAAAAACAATATTTAAAAAAATAATATGTAACTGAAACGCGTGTGTACGCCAAATTACCCACCGTAGGCGATTTGCGCAGTTTGCCGCAATGCATTGTGTTTCGTCCCTGTGGACTCTTTGATTATCAGCAAGAATAAGTCTTCCATTTTGAGTCTATTCCGTCTGCCGTGACGACGATTATGGATCAATTGGAATTACTTTCCTGTTGCTGATGCTAATTGTGTGGATGTATGTATGTATGTATGTCTGTTGCTTGTTATGTTTGCTATTTTTACTGTCCTTCCCACTTGTTGTTGTTGTCAACAAACATACATAAATGCATACATACAAATGTATGTATCCGGGGGAAAAAGGTCTACTAGGATGTCGATGTAAGCACTACTATTGTCTGCGTTATGACGATATTCTATCCGCTTCGCTGATTGCATTCAAGTGGAGGAGCTACAACATAGAGAAAATATGTTAAGTTTTTCATATTTTACACACATGTGCATACATACATACATACATACATATGTTTGGGATATGCATAGACATGTCGTATATATGTATGTACATGTATTCTTATGTATATACATATGTTCAAAATCAATAATACAACAGATGCTTTTGATGCACTTTCAAGGATATCATATTGTATCAATTGAAAAGACAAATTCCTTTGTTTTCATCGCTTCCTTTTAATTTTTTTTTTTTTTGTTTTCAAGTACCTATATAGGATGTGTAAATTTCTTTGTGGCCATTCGACCTGCGTTTTTGCAAACTTTTAAGCACACGCACTTATATATTTGAATACTCTGATACACATAAATGTGTGCATATGTATGTACTATATGCTAGCCTATTTGCTATGAGCAACTCCAATTTTTCCGCATTTATTTATTTCGTATTGATTTTTCGTTTGAACTTCCTTCGAATTACTTTAATTAATAAAATGGCTGTTGATTTTAAGAGTGTCCCAATGAAAATGTGTGTATCCCAAATCATGTATGTATGTATGTATGTACATACGCTCTTTTGTTTTGTGGATTAATATAGCAATGTTCGCACTTTTACTATTATTGTAATGACTAGTACTGATGTTAACTTTTTACCAAACTTCGTTGTCTATTTGTTTATGAAATTTTCATCCGCTACTTGCCATCCTGACAAAGAAGCTGTTTTGCTACTCTGACCTCTAGTATTTATGCACAAAAAAGCTAACCAACTTCAAACGTTGTTTCCTAAAGCAATCGGAAACAAAACTGACGGTCTATCACCAACTACTACGCGAATGACGGTCTATCACCAACTACTACGCGAATGACGTTAGTCACTCGCTGTATTCGCCTATCGAGTCGCCTGAAAATCAAAACATTTTCCGATGCGCATGAACAGTTCATCCATCATTTTACTAGCGAACAGCTTTATTTTTTAACGACTATTCGGTGATAAAATCGATATTGTCTGTTGCTGGCAACCAACTAGCGTCAGTACACTATATACAAATGTGCCTACTAGGACTGGGACTATCCGAACATTCGGATATCTGTTCGAAGATTCGTATATACGGATGAAATCTGGATATCCGGCTAATATCCGTTCATTTGGCTATAAGGATATACGGATATTCTAAATAGTATTGGAATGGATTCGCTAAATTGTTTTAAAAATTAATACACAAACAATTGTTATTTTATTGGTATTTTTAGTTTCGAAAATCCGAATATTCGGTTAATATCCGTTCCTTTTGTTATTCGGATATTCAACTTCCTTAATCTGATATTCGAATATTAGAATATTTGAATTATCTGGATATTCACAGAACTCCTGATACAACTCCCAGTCCTAATACATACATACTCGTACATACTATACATTCTGCATGCTTTCCTACGTTCGTTATTCTGATTTCTGCACTAAAAAAAAAAACACTTGAACTTTGACAAGTTTGTTGCAAAAAAAATACTCACCTCATCATAAATAGTTACTCATGCATGTGTATGTATGTATGTATGTAGCAAGTATGTCCATGACAGTACCCTACAAGACATTGCTGAGCACTTTAGGCAAAAATTCTCACACATTTACACTTTTGTTTTTGTAGTACGGCATAAATGAGTAGTTTGACTATTAGTACTGAGGACTTTCTGATGACAACATTGAGGGGAAAGTACTCAAATTTTTCCCATGGCCTGAACGAAAATGAGGACTTTGATAAGCACTTTTGTGATTAGGAGTAATGATAATATGAGTACTCATATGATACTCAGCTGTCTTGTAGGGTAGAGATTTAATTCGGGTACAGCTTTCTATAAGTATATACTCGCTACTTGTTGAAAAAATAAGTTCTCGTAGGGGGCACATGCTATACAGTCGTCTAACTAGTATGTACGTATGTGAGTATGTATGTAAGTATGCATGTATGTACTATGTTAGATCTACAAGACAACTAAATAAATAAACATCCAAACATTTTTTAATGTTTAATTTAACATTACGAAAAAATAATAACATATTTTACTGGAGATTTATAAAAAAAATATTAATTTCTTTCAGTTAAAGTACAAATTGTATATACATAAATACATACTAATGTATTTACCTCCGCATGTAACATGATAAAGCACCCAGCAGTTGCTCGTTTACAAAGACCCGCAATACGTACACATACTCCAACAGGTGGTTTTATCTACATATAGTACATTTTGATCAGTTTTGACTATTTCTGTGTTCGTATGGAAAAGTAGCTTATGTCGAAAGGCTGACTTTAGTATAATGCGGCATTCCCTTTATTCTTTAAACGACAGGGACTTTTTTGAAGAGACTTAATGAGAATATTGACTTGCTAGTATCGGAATTATTTCTTGCACGTTTATTTGCCAAAAGTTGTTCAACGGCTCAGCGCCAGTGAGAAATTCGCAATCGTATGCTGCGAATGCCGATTTATACTAAAGCCAGCCTTTCGACATAAGCTACTTTTCCATTCGAACACAGATTTTTCTTTTGTTTGTTTACTGTTTATTCTTTTGTTTTTTATAAAAATACAGCTCATTATCTAACAAAAACCATATAAGTTCAAATTTTAAACTTTGTGAAAAATTTAGAAAAATTCTGCAAAATTTTACAACAACAAAAATTTACATAACCACAAACTTTTTATTCAGAACTCATTAAATTCTAGCTCAAGAAGTTGCAAGTTTCAAGTGGCTAAGAGTTCGCGTTAATTTTTGATTTTTTCACGAATGGTGTTATTATTTTCTTCCATACAAAAAACACAAACTTTGTATAGAAATGCGTGAAACCGTCAGCAAAAAAATTGTCAAACCTCAACGCGATTTCTTATGCCGATTTCGTTTCTACCGAAAAATTTTTTGTAGAAACGCAATCGCCATTAGCCACTTGAAATTTGTACTTTATTGAGTTAGAATTAATGGATTATAATTTTAGGATTTTTCTAAACAGTTTTTTGGTGTTGTAACATTTTGTTGAAAATTTCTGCAAATTATATGGTTTTCATTAGATAAATGAGCTGTAAGTATTAAAAATAAAGATTATAAACCTTAAACAAATAAAAGAAAAATATCCACAACTTGTCAAATTGTTGTGTCCTTATTATTTTTGACATGACTATATGTACACATTTACATACATACTTTATAGTATGTGTGGAACTTAATGTGGTTTTCCATTCCTTGGTCTATTGCAAAATTATCCCTATATTTTCGAGGATGTTTGTCTCTTTAGAGTATCCAAAAGATCTACTCTGCACTGGTAACAAATTCGTTAACAAAGATAAGTCAAAGTATGTACCTCCTGGGAACATACAAATTGACTTCGCGCATTGTATAGTGAAGCATACTGTTGTAAAGGCCCTTGCGACCTCTTTCGCGCACTCTGGGCACCGTGGGTAACCCATGTGCGAGATGCGGTAACCAATCCGAATGGAGCCTTAGCTCACGGGAGAAAAAGAGGGAGCTTCGCTGAGGCCACTGCGACTTATTCGGTTTAAGGGCTTATTGAAGTATCCTGCTTCTGTTCAGCAGTAACTGGGGCTGCAATAGAGCGTCTGTCTGCGTGGAGCAATGGGTTCAGCGCTGGGCTTGGGATCCGCTATGCAAAAACCCCTTCCAGTGAGGCCTCGGATGAGACCCCCCTTTTGATGACGACTACGGCAAAAGTTTAAAGGGCTACTATTTAAGGGAATTCACCTGGAATGTCCGGACCCTTAATGGGGAAGGTGCCTCTGCCCGGCTGGTTGATGTCCTGTAAGGACAAAAACTGGTACCACTGTCATCCACGAAATAGGCGGGGCAAGGCAAGATATACGTCGGGCCTTGCGACGTAAAGGACAGAAAATTCGGTGTTGGAATTGTGCTGGGAGAAAGACTCCGTCGCCGAGCATTGTCTTTTGATTCCATCCACATAAAAGCGAGGTTTTTCATCATCTTGCTCATTTGCGCCCACGCTCCGACGGAAATGAAGGACGAAGCATCCAAGGATTTCTTTTATGAGCGCTTGTAAAACACAGACGAGCGCTGCCGCGTCACGATATAAAAATCCTGCTTGGCGACTTCAATGCCAGGGTGGGCAAGGAAGGGATCATTCGAACCACGGTCAAAAAATTCAGCCTCAACGATGAAACGTGCTATAACGTACTGAGGCTGATCGACTTCACCGGGGCCGGAATATGGTAGTATGCAGTACTTGGTTCAAGCATAAAAAGATCCATCAAGCTACGTGCCTGTCTTCAGATCAAAAACGAGAAATCAAATCGATCAAGTTGTGATAGAGGGAAGGCATGCTAGCAGTGTTTTAGACGTACGTACACTCCGAGGTCCAAATATCAACTTGGACAACTATGATGTTGCAGCCAAGATACGCTAAAACTGTTCGTCCAACAATGCAAAGAAAGCTTAAACTCGAAAAGCTGCAGCCGCAACGCAATGTATTCGCCAACCGACTTTCACACCTGCTCTCAGAGAGCACTCTTCAATAAACCGACATATGGGAGCAGTGGAACCACATTATCCACTTATTACATACCGAAGAAGTAATCGGATTTC